ATACAAAAAAATGATTGTCGTCCAATAATGTTGCTCATAAACTTGTTAAAATAGCAATAGATAGTGCAAATCTTTGTGATTTTTTTCATATCCCAAATTGTATCATTTATGATATTCTTAATGATATGAGCTAAGTTTTTCTTTTTTAAAAACAAAAACAATTATATCTTAGAATCATGTTTAAAAAATAGGTTAAGTTACACTTAACTAAATCTTGATTGAGAATATATAGTTTCAGTTTGTTATGTTTATCTATTATAAATTTTTTTAAATATATAATTTAACTTATTTAAAAGTTTATTTTGAAATAATTTTACTTTAAGATAAGAGTTAAAATATATGTTATGCTTGAGTTCATTTGTAAGGTTTAATATGATATTCATCGTCATAACTTATTTAAAAGCATATTTTATTATAAGATATCTGAGTACATAAATTTATATTATAATAAATTTAATATAATAAAAATAAATATTTACTATTATTTTTATTTAAATAGGTCAATTGATAGATTTAATAAATTTTTTAAATGGCTTAAAGTCTTGCTAAACAAATAACCTTTGACTTTTGTTAAAAAAATATATCTAAAATTGTATTATTGTTAATAATAAAATAACTTATGAATATATTAATATATACTAATAAATTAATTTATCAGAATACTAATTAATAAATATAAATTAATGCATTAATTAATAAATCTAAAAATTGATACACTAATATGTTAATCTACTAATTAATAAATGTTTGTTGTTATGTTAATTAATTGCAGCTACCAATTAATAATTTTATCAATAAGCATAATAATTATAAAAAAAAATTAAGATTTCATAAATTAATATATTTATAAATTTATAAATTAGTATACTAATAAGTTACATATGCTAATTAATAAATGTTTGTTGTTATACTAATTAACGGATACCAATTAATAAACTTAAGCATAAAAATTAAGCATCTCTGTCAAAAATTGAAAGAAATTTTGGAGGGATTTGGGGATTGACCAAGAAGTGGTGGAGACGGTGGCCTTTGATAACTGGTTCAACTTGTTGACACCAAAGAAGGTAGTTCTTGGTGTCTAACTCTTCAGAAATAGTGTGCGAGAAGGTGAGGGAAGGGGATGAGGAGGGTTTGTCCTGTGCAGCATGAAAGTGGGGCGGTGATGTTGCGGAAGACAATGGTTGTTCTTCAGCCATGAGTAGAGACAGATAGTGTAGTCAGGCAGAAAGTGAGAAGGAGATAGGGATCTTTGAGAGGGAGGTGGGGATCTTTAGCTCTTTGATACCATATTAGAATTATGTCAATCTTGGAAAACAGAGAGAAAGAAAATAGAGGGAGAGCACAATTAATCAGAAAGAAGTAAATTGTATATTCGGTGGTTAATCAGAATACAATTGTCCTATTTATATGTTTCAATAGCTTCAAGGAAAGCTATTGAAACATTGACATGTTGAGCAGGTAATTAAGCTAAAACAGAAAAATACATAACATAACAGGCTGGAATAATAACCCTATACAATAACATATCTAATACAATTTTAAGGAGTAAAGATATACTCCAATAGCATTTATAAAATGTACTAAATATATAATATTTTTGTAAATTTTAAAGTATATAAAATTTTATAAATTAATTAATACCATATAAGAAACAAAATCACTTTTTTATAAATACTAAATTATAATTAAAGAATGCAATAAATATTAATATATAAAGAAAATAAAAATCTGCTTATTCATATATTTTAAAATATTTTATTAATAACATTAAGTGTCATTTTTTTTCCTTTTTGTGTAGTTTATTTTAATATGTTTTAATGTATATAGATTGATATGAAAAGTAATATGTTTATTAAATATAATATTTTATTGTATTATAAAATTTAATTATATAAAATATAAAATAAATACTACATAAGAAATAATTTTTTATAGATTTAAAAAATAATAAAAACGCTTGTGTTAAAGAAAAATTTATAAAAGTACTATCATAAAAAAAAGTCACGAAAACAATCACTTAACAAAATTGATAAAATTATTTTTTGTTAAGTTATTAAATAATATAAAATATTAAATCGATGCCAAAATAGATTTCTTGTTTCAATTGTTTAATGTTTAAGCTTTTATGACAAAACCAATAAGATCTAACATAATTGATTATGTTTGTAAAAAAAATTTATTAAAAGAAACAAAAGTTACATCGATAGTTTTTAGACTTAAAAATAAATTTAATTTTCGATTATTGACTGAGTTAATATAAAAGAAAAAAATAGTTTCTATTACAAATATATTAGTTCTCATGTAGTGTTGTGAAGCAAAAACAGTTACAAGAAGAGACAAAACCATAAACACGTGATAGAACAAATGTGACAAGCCAAGTACTGTTTTGGTGGACAACACGAGTTAAGACGTAAGATAACAAGCAGATGATAAACACACCTCCACTCTCGTATAAATACACTTTCTTTTTTTAAAAAAAATATATAAAATATCTAAATTACCCTTTTAAAAAAAAATTCCTAAATTTACACCTCCCTTCCCCGCACCCCCCTTCCCCGCACCAGAACGGCACCAGAACGAGCCGTTCTGCAAGAAGAACGACCCGTTCTGATTGCAGAACGCCCCGTTCTGCTTGCAATACGGGCCGTACTGAAAGCAGAACAGGTCGTTCTGCTTGCAGAACGGGTCGTTCTGTTGCAGTACAGGCCACCGCGTCACTTTTAAAATAGCTACCTTATGATTGATTTTAAAACTCCGATTTTAAAAGTCATTTTTGTACTAGTGTGTCTTTCTATAGAACAAGTATGAGTCTTTATCTTACAATACCACCTGCTGACATTGCGCACCCCTCTTCTTTATCTTTCTGGCACTCTCCTCTTCTTTTTTTTTTCCTGCACCTCGCACGCCCCTCTTCTTTCTCTTTCTGACACTCCTCTTCTTCTTCTTACTATTACGGAAAGTTCTTTCCGGAATTATATAAAAATGTTCTGGAAAATACTTTTCATAATATTAAATTCTTATTCCCGAAAGTATTTTCCGGAAATGTTTTGTTACATAATTCCGGAAAGTACTTTCCATAATATTAAAGTTACTATTACGGAAAGTTCTTTCCGAAATTATATGAACAATAATTTTACTATTCCGGAAAGTACTTTCCGGAATGCTAATGACTGTAAAAGTACTTTCCGGAATGTTAATGACTGTAAAAGAGCCTTTCTTATGCTGGTTATGGTGGGGCTAGTCCTTTTTTTCTATTCAGAATGACTGTAAAAATATATTGCTTAATGACATTGAACGAAAAGAGGTTTTGGGAAGAAGAGTGGAGTGTGGGGTGCGGGGAAAGGAGTTGTAAATTTAAGAATTTTATTTTTTTAAAAGAATAATTTAGATATTTTTTTTTTTTTTTAAAAAGGAGGTATGTTTATACGAGAGTGGAGATGTATTTATCATCTGCCAACACAGTATTAATCTCTTGACCCAATACTTAATGGGCTTTCAGTCTTGGTTGGATTCGGTTACAATCTTTTTGTTTATTTACTTTTTTCAGTGAGGGCAACAAATATTCATTTGTGACATGTATTTTAATTGTGTATGATGATGTTATATTAGGGTAGTTGGACTTGCATTTTAATATTTAGACATGTATTGGACCCTTGCTAACGTCATTAATTGTGATTGAGTTGAAGCCATCTCTATGTGGATCATTCTAAACCTATTGCATAGTATACTGCGCATGATTATTATTTAGTTAGCTTTTATATATTCATGTTTTCATTTTGAATGAGTTAAACTAAATCACTTTTTAAAAATCACCAATAATAAATAAAATTAATTTTATATTACAATATAAATTATTTATCATGAATTTAAATATAATTTATATATTATTTAAAATTATTTATAAAAATTTTAAACATAATTTATATATTAAGATATAATATTTATTTTTATATATAATTTATTATAAATTTTATTATATATAATAAGTATGTCTAAAATTACACATGCTAAAACACTAGTTTAGAATTAAATTATAAAATATATAAAAATGTAATACATTAAAATTTCAAAAAAAATTAAATAATTATGTAGTAAATAAATTTAAAATGAAAAAAGCTGTTGATAAATAATTATAAAATTAAATGTTTAACTTCATAAAAAATAACTTATTTTTCAAAAAAAAAGTTTTTTTTTATAAATTTAATCTTTTTCCAGCACATTCTATATAAGATGTCAAATATTTGACTCACATCAATATAATATGTTTTAGCAACTTGTGAAAAATTTAGACTATATAAAATTTATCACCATTATTTATATGTTTTAATCTATAAAGGGATACTTCCCTTTAATTTTTACATTTGTTAAACATTTATACCTTTTTATTATATATTAATATTTTTTTACCATCATATCTTTTTAGATAAATTAAAAAAAATTATATTTTCAAAATAATTAACTATTTATTTTATCAATAATAACTATCTATTTATTTTATAATCATTTTTAAGTCTTCATTTGCGTTTAAGATTATTTTTCTCTCTCTCTTATTATATGTACTTGATTTAGATGGTGTAACCTAATTTTTTTACATAGCCAAAAATTCGAAGAAAATTATAGTCGGGTAATTGATGAAATAATTTTCTGAATGGAACATCATGCTGAATGGATGATGAGGGTAGTCTGTTAATGAGATAGACGCTGGTTAGGAATGCATGGTCCCAAAACTGCATAGGGAGGTGAGCTTGGGCCAGCATTGTGAGACCTAATTCAACAATATGACGGTGTTTGCGTTCCACAACGCCATTTTGATGATGGGTGTGTGGACAAATGAGTCGGTGTTGAATGCCATTTTGAGCCAGGTAGGAGGTGAATGAACGAAATTCTCCTCCCCAATCAGTTTGAATGGCTTTAATAGGTAACTGAAATTGATTTTGAATCATAGCATGAAATTGCTTAAAGACATCAAGCGTGTGAGCTTTGCTTTTAAGAAGAAAGATCTAAGTAAACCGAGTGTGCGCATCAACAAAGGTAACATAGTATTGGTAACCATTATCAGACGTGATAGGTGCAGGGCCCCATAAGTCACTGTATATTAATTCAAACGGTGTATGGTATACTGTTTTAGATAAAGTTGAAGGTAATTTGTGAGATTTGCCAAGACAACAAGGAGTACAAAAATCAGAAACAGTTTTATTCATGATAGGAAAATTACAAAGTCTGAACACCGATTTCATTACATCATTGTGAGGATGTCCCAGTCTAGAATGCCAAGTGGCATAGGGAACAGAATTACAAGAAGTTGTGTTAGCAGAGGGTGTGATGACTGATTGTTGTCTTGGCCGAAGCAGTGATGGAAACTGGTACAGGCCATCAGGGCCAACAACTCCCATGAGGAGAGTGTCTTTAGTGTCCTGTGATTTAACCAAACAGCAAGTTGAGTGAAATTCAAAGAAAACAGAATTATCTTTGCAGAATTGGCTCACACTGATGAGATTTTTGGTGATATTTGGAACATAAATAAGATTATTGAGAGTAAGGGAGATGTGAGGTTTTAAAGGAGAAGGGAACGCAGCTACACCTGAAGAATTTATGGGAAGGCCCTGGCCATTGCGAATGATGATCTGATCGGGTCCTTCAAAGGGAGTGAATTGTTGGATGTTGTGGGACATGTTGGTGACATGATTAGATGCCCCAGAGTCTGGGTACCACAGATTGGAACCAGGAGAAAAAGCAGTCATTGCCATGGGCGAAGCCTGAGCTTGATGGTCACCAGTGGAGACAAGGTATGCCTGAGATGAGGTGGGGTTGAGTGGTCGGGGACCTAAAATACCATTGGAAGACCTAGTGGGGCACGTAGCAGGTTGTGAGTGAAAGGGAGAGGGATTGTACCCAAGGGCTGGGTTGGTAGTAGGGTCGGCAGCGGAAAAGGAATTGTCAAAGGGTAGGGTTGGGACAAAGTTGCTATCAAACCTGTAATAGCAAGAAGATGCAATGTGGCCGTATCGATGGCAGACTTGGCATTGAGCGCCAGCAAACCTGCCACGCCCATGTCCGTAGCGATTGTTGGATCGTCCACCACGACCATACCGCGCACCAGGTCTGCCACCACGAGAGGAGGGAAATTGAGAGTCTTGATGGGTGAGGTCGGCTTGCGGTGGTAAGGGGGAGGAATTAGAGCTCGAGGAGATTTCAAGAATATTGACAGTGAGGGATTCTTTTTCTTGAATTTCTCAAGGCGTGATTCATGGGCAAGAAGAAGGGTTTCAACTTCTTCTATGGTCAATTCATCAAAACGGTTGCTGATGAGAGAAACAGTGGATTCATATTCCTCCAGAAGCCCTTCAAGGACAATATCAAGATGTTCTTTGGGAGAAACAGGGTTGCCAATAGCTGTGAGGGCATCAACCAGGGTTTGGATGCAAAGGAGATAATCGGAGATGGAACGGTTGTCAAGAGTTGTGCCGCGAAGGTCACCACGCAATTGACGGGCTTTGGCGTTGGTGTGCGCATGAAAGTACGCATGAATCTTGTCCCAGATTTGGAAGGAAGATTTGCATCCTATGACTCGTGTGAGCATGTCTTTGGACATGGATGACTGTAACCAAGAGAGAAGTAACTGATCTTGCTGTTCCCACGCAAGATATGCTTCAGAGATACGATTGGCATCTCTGTCAAAAATTGAAAGAAATTTTGGAGGGATTTGGGGATTGACCAAGAAGTGGTGGAGACGGTGGCCTTTGATAACTGGTTCAACTTGTTGACACCAAAGAAGGTAGTTCTTGGTGTCTAACTTTTCAGAAATAGTGTGCGAGAAGGTGAGGGAAGGGGATGAGGAGGGTTTGTCCTGTGCAGCATGAAAGTGGGGCGGTGATGTTGCGGAAATGCTAATTAATAAATGTTTGTTGTTATACTAATTAACGGATACCAATTAATAAACTTAAGCATAAAAATTAATAAAAAAAAATAATTAAGTTATAAATAAATTAATTAATAATGTTTTAATTAGAATACAAATTAAAAACTATAAATTAAATTTTTTAATAAGTATACTAATTTATGAATATATTTAATATATGAACAATTTAATATATCATTGACAAGTGCTATAATTTCTTTTTATCTTGTGGTACATTTTGAATCTTATCAAATTTTTCTTGACCTGAGACCTTGATTTGTCAAGGATTTAACTAAATAATTTGTAAAAAGTTAACTTTAGTTTTTTAACTCACATTAGTATGTAACTTACATGCACGTTTTTTGTTATTATTTTATAGTTGAGAAGAAAGGTTGAAAAACGTTGAGAGAAGCAAGTGACAATTAATGAAGATTCAAGAGAATAAATTTTTGGCGAAGTCTCCATGATCACCCTCAGTTTCATGGTTACCCTTAACTTGATAGAGAATCATTTGAGCAATTTCAAGTCTCACATTGAGCATGGGAACTCACGTCCAGTGTCAGTTTTCTAGATGAGAATTTGAGTTTCATGCTAAGCGTAATGCCACAATCCTAGGGGTTTTGTGTTCACACTTAACATTAGAAGTGCTGACATGTCATTATTGAGATGAGACAAAAAGTTTTATAACCTAAGTGGGATAGATTTGAGGACAATCTTTAGACAACCTTTCTTTGATAGTGTGTAGCAATTGGAAAGCTCTTCAACCTTCAAGATCAAACTTTCTCCTTTTTCACCATTTATAGTGTTTTGCATGTCTATGTGTAGCTACACTCTCCCTTGATGGGGTTTGATGTAACACATTCTCATGCTAACATTCTAGGTTATTAATCTCAGTTGTTATTTAGTATTGTTACTCTATCTTCTTTGTTTCATGCTTATTTAAATTGATTTTGTGGATTTAAAGTGATTGAAAAAATACTTGTGAACCTTTGAACTGAAGTAGAACAACTAATAGTGCTTATCTTTGAAAATGGAATAAATGTCATTATTCTTTCTTAAGCTCTTATTTTTAAAGTTGGTTTCTTAGTTAAGTTATTCAAGGAATTAATAAATTGATCAAGGAGCTTAATTTTTAACTTGTGAGGAATTTAGGGTTGGTTATTATTCTGAGTGATTGATAAAAGTTATAAATTATAACTAGTTTAAGCTTGTTTGTAAACATGAGAGGAAGATTTGCTGAATTTAAATATCAACATCTTTCATTATTATGTTAAAATTAGTTTTTATATTCTAAGTGTTCATAAAAATTCTAAAAAGACTTCTTAGAACTTTAATCTTTGCTCAAACACTTTGTTTCCTACGGCTAATCAATATTTTCATTCCTGATAGCTTAGTTTAGTATAATTAGTGAGTTTTGTCAAATATTATATGAGTCATTTGAGAAACGGCCCTCATACTTATTATTAAACTACTTATCAAGTATTTATTAGAAATAGTAATTACATTTAATTTAAGAGAGATTTTTGGAATAATAGTATTAAATATGGACATGGACAAATTAGTTAAAATTTACTTATATTTAAGTAAATTTACTCATATTTAAGTCCAACAATTTTAGGTATATATATATATATATATATATAATATGAGTTCAGAGAGTATATGATATGCATATGTATGTGATTTTGTGTCCTTAGAGTACCCAATGAGATGATTCTTATTAATTTTACAAATATTTTAGATTAAGTGGAATTCATGAAGTTAAAATAAAATATAATTTCTTTTATTTATCATTGTTAAACATTTTAGATTTAAATTTGTAAATTTATTTTTAGTCCCTCAAATTTTAAAAATTAATTTTTTTAGTTTGTGATTTCGAAAAATCTTATTTTAGTTCTTACATTTAAATTTTGTTAAGAAATTTGTTAAATACTATTATATAAAATATATCTATTGGTGTCTCCGTTAGTGAAAATATCACATTAAACCTAGTTAATGATGCATAATTATCTTAATTTATAATTTTCAGATATGTTATTGATGACTTATAGAATTAAAAACAAAATTTTTAAAATTACAAAAATTAAAAAAAATAATTTTAAATTTGAGAGACAAAAATAAATTTATTCTAAATTTAAAATATAAAAAAACATATTCAAACTAATATTTTATTATAATTTGATTAATAGGTTAAGGTTAAGAACCTCTTGCGAAAGAGATTTTTGTTTATACATGTATATAGTATATATAGGGATTTGATTGTATGAAGTTTTATTTTTTAATTTACATGTTTATGCAAATGTATGCATTGTCCTACCATAGTATTACATAAACTTCCTCAACACCGAACTCGAGTTCTATGAATAAAAATATATACTAAATTCTAAGGATTTAATTGTGAAATATTATTTTAATATTATTCCAATGATCATGATGCACAATAACAATTTTATATATAGGCTGTATTTATTAATATTTTAGAAAAAGTGTGTCAAATATTAATTTAAATTTATCTCATGAAATATCAGATAGTTTTTACTTGATGACGACAAATATACTCCCACCCTCTTTATTCTCAACCTAATTAACCGTTATCCAACTTAGCTGATGACAAAAACAGATAGCATCAATTTAAATCATTACTCAATCAATTTGTGTAAATTTTTGCATTTTTACTAACCGATGTCCCACCTATATATAAATATATAACTAATTTATTGAAATTTGCATAGACTTTAGTTACAATAATATCTGAATATCTGATCGACAATATTATAGCCTTTCTGCAAGTCAATTTTGAAGGTCCGGTCTCTTTTTTCTCTTTTGAGCTTATGCATGATATGGATAAGTTCTTGTAGGCATAATGATGTAAAAAAAGAGATATATTATATAGGTACCAAAACCTGTATAGAAAGATACCATATTCGTACATTATAGAAAAGCTCCCTTACTGATACATAGCCTACCACTCCCAAGTAAAGAACACAAACTAATCCTTGCTGCAAAATGACAGTGGGAGCTTGAATCCCACAATGATCTGATAGATGACAGATAGATAGCCGCTCTTCGTCCATAGTCAGGAACTTAGAGGAGAATTGTTGCACTAACAGTTTATGTGGTCCATGAGGCTCTATCTTCAGTAATCAAAACAATCATGAAGTAATGCATAACCCTAGATTAGTGGACCACTGCTGGAAACAGAAATGAAAGTTCTTATCTAACCTTAGCCAGGCGTAGGCAGAAAACAAAATATCAGTTAGAAATTTTTGAGGATCAAAATTATGGCCTCTAAACCTACAACCATTCTTGTGGTACCATACATTCCATATAATTGCACTTCAAAGGACCTTCCATCTTTCTCGCTCAGCAACATACCTGTAAGAGTATGGTTGTTGGTAGAAGTGTTGATACATAGTCCCAAGCAACACTGTTGATATAGATGCCCAATTGTAGCATGCTTTCCATATTATGTCCACTTTGTTACATGTAAAGAAAACATGTGAACAGGTTTCTTCCTCCAAATCACAAAAAGAGCATCTTCCACTTACACCAGATAACTTAATATTTCTTCAGCTATAATATTGTCTATAGTGGCTATGACATTATGATATAACTTCTAACAAAAAACAACCACTTTTGGTGGTAATTTAAGATTCCATACCTGGCTAAGAAGGGGGATTTCATGAGCATTGTTGCGCCTGTTTTGGATAAACCTGTATGTTGAGTTCACTGAGTAAATACCATTTGTCTCATGGATCCACCACCAAGAGTCTTTTTCACTCTTTTGTAAGGGTTTGTCCTGCAATAGCAATTGTAATTCCTCCCACTGAGTGGTTTCCCTTCCAAACCTTCAACGTGTCCACTTCAAGTCCCAACACCACACATCACCAACCCATAATCCCACATTTGCCACTAAACTTTGTTGTTGTTCTGAGTTTAGGAATATCCTTGGGAAAGCTTCCATCAATGTTTGAGTCCCTACCCATTTGTCTAGTCAAAATTTTGTTTGATTCCTTTCTTCAATTTTCCACTCAACCCCTTGCTCAAACCAATGACTTTGTTCTTCTCCTCCACACACTTTTAACAAATCTCGCCACCAAATTGAGGAATTGTGAGAAGCTTCCCCATCTTGAATATCTTTCCATCCACCATATTTTGATTCTAGTATTCTACACCATAATGAGTCATATTGGTGAAACAAACACCATCTCCACTTCCCTAAGAGTGCTTCATTAAAAGATTGTAAATCTTTAACGACCAATTCCCCCTGCTCCTTTAAGAGACATATTTGTTTTCACTTAACAAACAATGACCTTAGTGATGATTTTGTTAACAATGTTGCATGCACTAATTAATCAGAAGTCCTTAAATTTACCTAGAAAATTGAATATCGGAATCAAAGCAATCAAGGTTTTTGAAAACTAGGGATAGGAAATAAATTTTCACGAAAGCCTCGTTTATCAACTTCATAGTGAATGTTTATTTGAGGTCATCTTCCTATATTCTCAAATATGTAAATGATTATTAGAAGGTCAAATAACAATACTTTTTGGATATGTTTTTATTTCCAAAAAAGTTATATTTCGGTGAATATAGCATTTAATTTATTCCTATAGTGAAATGGTGGGTATGTGATATTTCCATAATAATATTGAAAATTATTTTTTATAAATTCTATCAAGTATTTCTAAGAATATTAAAATGAATCAATAAACATTTTTTCTTATATTCCTAAAAATAACATTTCAGGTTATATTAAAAATATGTCGTTAATACCGCATGAAGAAGATCCCCAGGAAACCATTAGATCCTCATGCTTTGTATGAGTATGGAGTTCAAAGCTTTGGAAACCTCATCTTTGGTAATTAAACTATTGTAGAAATTGTCTTCTACCACCCATCCTCTTCTAAGAATGGGTTATTTACCGCTACGAAAAAAAAATGTATAGTTAACATGTGTGTACATGTCTATGGGTGTCACCACTCCCCATTAGGCAATAACAAGCCATGGGCTTTATTTATGTTCTTTCTGCTAGTAACTATTTGAGCATGGATTTTTTTTTTATTCTTGTCCGCAAGTTAACCGTTTGCTATATGTGAACTTTTAGTAACGAAAAAACTGTTCCTTATAAAGAATATAATATATATTCCTCTTAAATTGATGCTCAGCTTGTAGTAGCCTTGCGAAGAATCCACTCTCTCCAAAGATTTTTCTAACCTTTTTAGGTGAAACTCAATGCTTCATTACCTAAAAATCTTGAAGAAAAAAAATCTCCTAATTAAATTTATTATCTTTTCCAAACACTTAATCTTTTTCTAGGATAACTAGGGGTTGTCACATTTCACACTTTTTACTTCCTTATGATAATTATTATGCATAATCCAAGAAACTTCACAAAACAAAATGATGGACACCTTAGTTTGGCGAATACCCCACACCAAAGAAAATAGGGTTATGATCAAAGTGTGAGCATCAAAGTACTTCTACAAAGGCTTTAGAGAAAGCCTTCCATCAAGACAAATTAATCATTCCTCGATCCAATTCTTTCTAGCAATTAACAAAGAAATTTTCTCTGCAATGTCTGTGCCATATAAATCTCACACCTACATTAGCAAAGTCTACCAGACAACAATAAACCATGAGACCACCGGCAGCATTTGATCTTGCTAGGGAACACCATAAAAAGATAAATTCTATGATTCTGCCAACCTCTAAAGGTGTTTTTCATACTGTCAAGAACACCATAAAAAAGAAAGTAAGAGAAGAGAAAATATTTCAAGAGGTACACTAAGGACGTTGTCAAGGATTGCAATCTAGGATAAGTTCATAAACCTTCTTATAAAATTATAGAGCATGTTGTAAGTGAGAAACTTGTTATATCTAAGTTACTAGATGTATGATAAATCCTAACAAAAAATTACATATAACAACAAAATTTGAATACATTTTCAGATAACTCTATATAACTGATTGCGCAGGGAAAGGATTTTGTACATGTATATAATCCAATACACATTTATTCTTGACTTCTTGAACAAACACTAAACGAGATTGAAAGGATTAATGTAAAAAGAAGACTTTAAGGTTGGTCCCATTATCCACCAACATCCAAATATCCTGAGCATCCCCATGTGCCTCCACAATAACAACTGGATTATAATTATAACCTTCTTGGTGCAAAAGGTCGTTATTCTCTCATCCTGAGATTAAAATCCAACAACTATATCTTTACTTTGTTATTATTTGATCCTTTAATATTCCAAAAGATGATAGATACCATTAAAAAATGAGGGAACAAAAGGACTTCTTTATAATCATATGGTCTTCTCTCCACTTCTCTCATTTCCTGGTATTTCAATTACTACCTCTTATGATGTAGATTTATATTAGAGTTAATCACCTATACACTGTCAGTGTAAAGTTTTTTGCACTGGCAGTTAATCAGAGTCGTTAATAGTATCTTTTTTATTTTAATTTAATTAAATGAGTAGATGAAAAGACACTATTAACGGTTCTGATTGACTGCTCATGTAAAAAAACTTTATACTGACAGTGTATAAGTGATTAACTCTTTATATTATTTAGGAAGTAGTAATGTGGTCTATTTCCGAGGAATGATATTGTATTTAAGGGAGGGTAAGTGATATTCTATCTTAGATTTTATTAAGGTTCATTCATGATACATACTTTTTGTACCTTGTTAGCAAGTTTGAGTACTTTGTACCCCTTTTGAAATAAAAGTTAATTGTTAAACATCTCAGTGTAACACTATAACAGGATAAAATGAATCTAATTCAACGTCAAATATTTATTTAACCTGCAATTATAAAAGAAAAAAAATGGGTATCCAAAGGGTGTTTTTGTTTGTTCGTGGGTGTCCAAATATATTTTCAGTTTCAATAATATTTTGCTTATAAAATGACAAATAAAAAATAGAAACCTCTTATGATCTACATGTTGCCATAACTTCTATTAATATATCTGACGACAAAGGTTCATAAGTGAACCTATAGTGATTCTCATCGATGTTTTCAACATCAGCTATATATTAGGATTGGTGGTGAAGGTCCATGCACTGTTTGCACAAGGAGGAAACATGATAATACTTTTGGAACGTACGTGGTATTGCATGGTTGCTTCATGGTACTGTCTAGGACATCATAGTTGCTTCAAAACTAGCTGATTGGATCATTGAATGATCTTAGGAGTAGATGGAGTTTGATAATTACATAGCCTTTTCAGTTTGCTCCAAATCTTTGAACCACAATTAATTGGTAGTAGGTATATCTTTCTCTGCCAAAAAATTGCATTCTTATTTCCATTTTTACTTGCATCCATCAATTCTTTGATTTTTGTATTTTCTAGCTAGCCCGTCAAAATGATTACTAGTTAAAATATATTCTTCCCTTTTTTAACTGTTTTTTTTTATTAGCAATTAATTCCATTTTTCCCACATAACGACAAGCCAGTGTAATGACTGCTCTGAATCATTACGGATTGTTTTGATTGAAGGAAAACCATTATAATGACCACCGAAGTTTTCGTTACAATCTTTTCGATCGGCCTCAATGCCAATTTGAGTGTGTGATTGAAGTTTATTATCGTTATATATGTACATATTATTTTTAGTAGTTAGTACCTTTCGGTTCGTGACACAATTACTGGCAAGAAGGTAACCACAAGACATACAAATTAAATGATATGCAATCCTTCATACTACTTTATAACATCTCCATTCAGCCAAACCTTGTCCACAGCTAGCTAGTTAGGTCAAGTTTATTTCCAATTGACTATTCGACAAATCTTCCTATCTCCACCTGTAAGGTAATGGAATCTACCTTATATGCTTGCCAACTGCTGAAATTATAGCCAGCAAAAAAACTTTCATGAAAATAATAAACTAAATTTAGAACAGGAAAGTGGATCCATCCTGTAGGGTACCACCTATCTTTGCTACTAGTGAAACCAAAATATCTGGATTCCAATGTATAATTCCTATATAGTAATCAAATATATCATTACCTTTTTCTTTATCTTTTGCCATGTCAAACTTGGCCATATAGAAGCCATTAATTTCATTACATGTCCTAACTTACACTGTAACGAACATTCTTAATCATCTAGCAGTTTCAATACTGAAGCATCATGCCAAGGGTCACACGATCCTTAAAGACATGTTAATCCAAATACACTTTTGGCATCAACCTATAGCTTCCATGTTCTATGAGCACTAGTTTTGTGATAGGGTCCACAAAATAACGCGTAAACATCTTTCTAGAAATCTTTATAACTATATTTTTTTATGCTTGCTCTTTTTTTATGATTAAATCTTTATAACTATATATTGTTTAATACTTCATCTCTTATAATTAAATAAAAATAATAAAAAACAATTCTACCAATGTCAAGACATGTAGTTTAAAAGAAAATGAAATTGCTTAAAACTTAATTAAATAAATTTGAAAACTACATAATTGTTATTGAGAACTAATTAGCATGGAGAAAAAAAAATAAACTTGAAAAAGATAATATAGGTTTTCTTAATATAATAAAAATGTCGAGCAATTTGAAGAAGAAAAATAATAATTGAAAGAACAATCATTTCATATTAGAACAAATATTAATATCGATGAAAAGAAAAAGCCACAAGACAAACTCAAACAAATATTTTATTATATCAAATACAATTATAACAAAGACCTCTATCGCTCCTGTTACTTGACTTAGCCTAATTGATCAAATGTTCAATGTAATTAATATTCAAAACTGTTAATGTTAGACCCAAAAAAAAACCCTGAAGTGTTGAATGGATAATGCTATTTAGGTCAACATGAATGCAAGTCGATAGAGTCACATACATATCTGAGCTTCACCAATGTTAATCTCCTACTGACTCCTATCACCTTCAAAGACATCCAAATGCTCAAATAAGCAAGTGTTTAGTGGGAGGTAAGAAATGATCAGAATGGAAACTTATCTTGGGAGGTGAAAATGCTTCATTTAGTGGAAATGTTGCTATATATGCAACTGGATTGTCTTGGGTCGTTTCCAGAATAATCATCACAGGAGGAAAACTACTCACCCACTTTACGTCCAAAACTCTATTATCATCAACGAACCTCTCCATGAAGGTATATTTTCTTCTTTGAGTTTCTAGTTTCTACACTTCTCTTTTTAGCCGTGATGGCTACCCACTCACTAGTACTATTTTACTAGTTTGCATTTATTCTATAGTTGGATATAAATAATTAAAACGATGGAACATTTTGGACAAGCTTTTTAATCAAGGTTTTATATGAGAAGCAAATATAAAATAAAATAAAATTTTAATTAAATTAAAACCAACTTATATACTTTATCTTTTAGAAAAGTTAATTAAATGAAATAAATTTTAGAAAGATTGAAGTATATAAATTGATTTTAGCTATCAAAAAAATAGTTTTTATATTTATATTTTTTTCTTTTACAAGTATACTTATTAAAAAAAATCTACATTGAGTCTATCTAAAACAAGAACTAAAACTGTAACTTGTAACTAATATAATTAACTAATTAAAATTATTATATCAATTAACACATAAAGCATAATATACGAAAATGTTAAAAAAAATTCATATATATATATATATA